TAGCCACAGCCACAGCCTGAGCCATAGCCACAGCCACAGCCTGAGCCGTAGCCACAGCCATAGCCTGAGCCATAGCCACAGCCACAGCCAGTTCCATAACCACAGCCAGAATAGGGGCCACATCCACAGCCATAGCCGCATCCGTAGCCATAGCCACAGGAGTTCCCGTAGTTGCAACACATGTTGTCAGGAGAGGAGATTTCAGGTGGGTTGCACGCAGATGTGTGGTCAAGTGCGGTCTTCTACGTCCCTTGGACCTTTACATACTGCCAGTAATTGGCGAGAGCATACCATTCATCCCCTGACTTACCCAACAAATATGTAACCAACTGTGTTGTGCCTGTCAATGTCTACAATCGATAATGTCTTGGGAAAAATGAGCTTATTCTTTTGGAGACTTCCGTTGTGTTTAAAATGTAGCATTTTAATTTTTCTGTCAAAGGGTTGTCTCAGTAAATCATGTGCCCCACATACCTGTGATACCCAACTTCACTACCTACTATCATTTAATCTACCTCATATAACAAGGTTGGGTGATTTAGGAAACTTTTGTCCCACTTGATCTCTCCTCCTTCCTTAAATATCTACCTCTGTCCATTGGGAATGATTAACTTCCTTCTCCTTTCTGGAATCATTGCAACTTTTTACCAGGCTTTTGCACACTCTCTGAACTTCCTTACCCCATCCCTTTTTCAATTCTTTTCAAATTCCAAGAAGCACCTCAACATCTGATAATTCACTTACTTTTATTGGGACACTGACTCCTTATAAGTTTGAAGTAACTCGTTATATATAAGTGTTTCTTCTTATATTTTCTCCTGTCATATACCAGGCCAAGTGAGGTTCTGGGGAATGCGCCAGCCCTCCTTTACTGTCCCTTTTTTTTTTTTAGCTATATAACTGTTATGTAGAATCTTTTATAGCCAAACAACTTTATTTGGATGAGAAAACAGAATACCTCAATTAAGCCAAAAACTAAACTTATTCCCATGCAGATATTTCCAATTTTCACCTTATGAGATATCCATGCATTCCTTGAATTTAACAAACCAGTATTTCCTTCTCCTACCACTACTGTTCACTGCACCTTTAGTTCAGAAGCTGAAGATGAGTGAATGCTTTTTCGGAACACAGCCACACTTTGGGGTTATGTGGGCCTACAGTTCTAACCCAACTCCAGACCTGAGAGTCATTTTGGAGGAAACCTGGGTGTGGTGTTTTAACCTGATAAAACTGATGAGAGCAAGGGGGAAAGAAACCTACGGTAAAGCAGGTAAACGTAGACGCTTCTTTTGTATCCCAGGTGTGGCTTCTTGACCAGACCAAGCTGCGATGCAGTATTGATTTGACAGAGCCTACACTTCAGTGATGTGTGTCTCAAATGGCTCCCCATGATTTCTGTACTGCAAAATAAAGCCAGGCTCTAGAAACCAAAAAAAAAAAAAAAAAGATACCTATAACAAGGCCCACCCTCAACATCTGACACTATCATAAAGGAGCACATAAATCAACTTTAACCCCTATTTATATGTCCATTTTACTCTACCAGAGTTCTCCAAATTACCAATTTAATATAAGTTTTCAATCTTTGACAAAAATGTTCATTGTGATTTTGGTATATAATATATTCCCTTTCTTCCAAATTATTCTATCACACTTACCTTTTCAACATAGAAAAGAGGAAAGTGAATGTCATTTCTAATGCCAGTAGTATTTTCTTGCTTCCTTAATTCTCAGTTAAAAACTTTTCTTTATGCTCAGGTCTGTGGTCACTTTTTGCAGGATGCTTTTCCTTGCTGCTAGTGTCTGGACTGAATGATCTTCCCCTTTGCCCCTATATATAGACATATATCATAGCCCTTGGCCAGGTTTGTGGAAACTCTGTTTTCTTCACTAATCACCATATGACATTCTTGAGGAAGCACTGTCCCTTCCACATTAGAACTTTTAGGCAGAGCTGGTGTTGGTCCACATTTTATGTAAGATAAATTTAAGGAACAGTGGAAGTTAATTTATAGACCCAAAATGAAGCCACTTCTGGGAGAAAGAACTTTAGCAAGGTGTTTTGATGCCACATTGAATAAATAATCTTTCTACTGAAGACCAAAACATTACCAGGATGCAGAACATAGCACTTGTTTCTTTGTTTTTAGCCTTCAAATTCCTACCACATTCTAAAAATGTCTAATATGTATGACTTCCTTCTTTATTTTCTCTAATCTGTTTTTAATTGATATTTACAGCCTCAGCTGAACCATTGTAATTCTGCAGGAAGATACCTGTAATTAGCACTTGGATCTGATATATATATATATATAACCTCAATACCATCCATACATTACCTCAGTTGCAAAATTCCATGTGCAACACAACTCAGCACTCCACAGCAAAATGTCCTTCTGATATACTGAAAGTGACTTGAGTAAGCAAAGAATTCATGGGGAAAATACATTTTTCAGTGAACTTTAACTCTGCATTTCTATACTAAAAGATTACAAAATTTATCCACATCCATAATACAGTAAATACTGGAGTTCAACATCGTTTTTCAGAACTCCTCAAACTTTTTCCCTTCCCCGCCCTTCCACAGACTTTTTATCACAATGATCCAGTTAGCTTAAGTTAGTGGGAAGTGATCAGAAAGACACCTGCTGCAAGTTCTTGATATTTCAGGAAAGATTTAGAACTTAATAGAAAATGAGGTGCTCTGCAGAACTCAGCATCATGTCTTACTCTGCTCTTTCCTTCTTAGCGTGCTTCTTCTGTGGGATAGTTCACCGTCAATGATACTTTTCAAGCAATGAGGTCCTGTTGGAATCCAGTAAATGGCAAAGTCCTGTTCTATTGCTTCCTTCTGCACTTGCCTTTAATCACCATCTCAGAAGGACTCACACTTAAACTCTATGGACTTCCATTTAAAAGAATATAAACTCTAAAGACAACTGGTTCTTGAAGCAAACAGGAATACCACACCCTTCCTGCAGGATGTGGAGGGGTAGAGAAACAGCATCAGGACCCCCAGTGCTTTGGTCTCTGCAATACACAGTCCCTCCCAGCATTTCAGTCCCAGAAAGCCTGTAGCCCTAAAATTCTAATACTGCTTTTAATCCAAAGAATAGGACTACAAATCTATTCACCAGCTTCTCCTCTTCCAAGGCAAATATGTTAAATTTTGACTCGACCTATCCAGAATCCCATTACTTTTCTGATCGAGTTTTTCTCATCTCCATGCATAGTTCGAAAATGATAATAGTTTTAAAATGATAATTTGCACATTTTTGTTGATTGCTTTGCTTGCTAGGCATTCCTTCAGTAACTCAGCTGAATTCCAAGACACTCATTAACACATACCACAGCTAAGGTGTTGTCTTGGGGACTGGAAATTTGCAAAGATGATCACACGTTCTTGTCCCAGGATTAAGCAGGTGCACAGGTAAAGAGACTCCTCAAAATAAGATCTAGTGTTTCTCTCCGGACCACTCTACCTTTTCACCACCTCTACCTTAGTGTTCATCTGCTTTCCACACTACAAGAGAAATAGAAACAATGAAACTAATAACACATCTGTATCAGTAGTTCTCAACCTGGGGGGATTTTTTGCTCCTGGACTCTTGGATACAATTGACAGTATCTGGAGACACTGTAATGGTCAAGACTTGAGCGTGGTGGGGTAGAAACCAGGGATGCTGCTAATTCAGGGCACAGAACAGCCCCCAACAACAAAGAAATATCTGGTCCAAAATATCAATAGCATTGCAATCTAGAAACTCTAGTTTATAGCTATGCATCTAATAAGTTTCTATACCTGTAAGTGTATAACTCCAAATACACTCTTTCTTTTCACTCTATAGTAAACATCTGACCTTTCCATCAACAATATGCAGTTATAAAAAAGTGAGGGTTTTTTCTATTTGTGGAAGATTTTTTGGCTTATCTTAGTTGTCTAGGTTTTACTTAAATCACCATTTTCAGAATCAGGCAGAATCCAAAATTTAAATTTACTGTAACAACTATGAAATCTAAGTTGGAAAGGAGTACAAACTCTGGAAGATCATTCCTTCTACTGAATACTCAAATTTCAAGAGCAAAGGAGAGAGTGGTGATCCAGAACTTTATTGAAAACCTTCAATAGAGAGTGTACAAAACTTTCATTTTTTGAGAACTTTTATTATTAAATATTTTTTCTTCAGTAAATAAACCTTTATTTTTTATATTGATCACTGGCCTAATCTGATCACCCTGCTATGTTTCATCTTAACAATAAGTTTAAAGAAAATATATTCTTTTCTATTTACCTTCAGTTTCTTTCCTTTTCTGTCATCCTTAAAATTCCAAATTCTACTTCATGAATTCCCTAGAATAGACAATTTTCTTTTTCAATGCCACTGCCAACACCCACTTTCATGTAAAAATACCCCTAGATTATTAAAAAGTTCTTCTATCTATGCATTATTTTCAATATCTTTCCATTCACAACTGTGGATACTAATCCAAATGAAAAATACAATCTCCATTCTGTGCGTCCCTGAATCACCAGCTCTGAGTACAATGCCTGGAACATGATTTGTACTTGATCAATATCTATCCAATAAAAGAATGGATGGATTAATTCAAACATATGTTCAAATATTGGTGTGCCACTTATAAGCTATACAATATTTGGATATATGCTTAAATCCTCTGAATGCTAGTTTCTTCTTTCTAAAATTGGGTCTAAGCATTTTACAGAACTATTTTTTATATGTTCCATGCCTAGTCAGTGTTTTGGGACAGGAATTATACTCAATAAATGTTATTCCCTTCATCTTATTTTTCTTGCACCATAGTTTTAAATTCTCATCTAATAATTGTTTTTCAAATATCTATATTTATTTGTACTGAAAGACTGATTTTGTCTGCACTTAATGTAATAACTTTGTAGTTTGGAGTAGGTTATTCTATGGTGTATATATATATACATATATACATATATACATATATACATATATATATATGTATTTATGATGAAGAAGCAAAACCCCTCAGAAAATAAATTACTCTCCTAGAGGCATTTTTACACCCTGACTTAGCCATTCTGTATTGTAATTTGTTACTAAAAATACAGTGTCAACATAATGTTATTGGATATGGTATCATGCATATTTTCAAGTTCAGCAATTAGAGAATGATTTTATGTTGTATTTACAAAGTATATCTTTCGAGAACATGTTTAGGTACATACCCTGTATAAA